CTGGAGTGTTGAGCATGTTGTACATGCTGATTTTTATTTTGCACCCTACAAACAAAAACAGCAACTGTCTTGTTTCTTTTCTTTTTTAATTTATTTTGTACATCCTTGCTTTATCCTCACCCTGATTGTATTCTGAATTACGTGATCTTAAATATTGTTAGCAGTAATTAGTTTTGCATATATATATATATATATACAGGGTATATTTATATAATTTTTTTCTGGATTGCATCAGTGTGAATGCTGTTGCCACCTAGTGGTGCAGCAAGGGAACTTCTGTATTTTTGTTATAGTAAAATTCTTTCAGAAGATTGATCTTTTAGGTAAAAAAAAAAGACCTTAGTTGTTCCTCCATAATGTAACAACAGGATCAGGACTAATTATGTTTTCTTCGTGTAGCTGACCCCTTGTTAAGCTTTTGGTATGTTACCCTGTTAGGAACAAATTTTCTTGTACTTTGAACCAGAAACAGCTACAGGCAGGATGGAGGTTTGACAACTTTCTTAGTGGTTTTGCTTGTTAATTTTAATAAGTAGGCGATTCTGTTTGCTACTAATCTACCTGAACAAAAACTCTTATTTTGTTTCAACACCATTCCCTCCATGTCACAGAGACTGATGAATAAAAGATGACACCAGTTATGGAAATCTGTCCCAAATGTGTACAATTCTGGTAGAAATTAGTGAAAAAAACAAATCAATACAATAGTAYAAAGATTGAGGACTGGAGAGAAACGTGGTGTTTTAATCTTTAAAGTTCTCCTGTTTCTGCGAGTCTTGAAGGTTTTTCAGAGAACAAGTGAGTTTTATGACAGAAGTCATTCCTCAGAGTTGCCGAGGGGCAGGATGCCTGAAATAATTCATACATGAGGAATCTCACTCCTCCACCAGCATGATTTATCGCTGCACGTAGGCCTAAGCATCGCAACACCACTTTCACCAGCAGATCTTGGGAAACCAAATCTGTTTTCAGACCATCTGGAAAATTCACTAATTCCTGTCCAGTTAGTTACCTCCAATCAAACAAGACGATGAAACTCAGCGTTCAAACAAAATGATGTTAGAGACAAGTGAACCAGTTTTATGAGGGAATGTGTTTGCAAAATAAATGTTCAACATAATCAATGCAAAATGTTTGGAATGTAGAACTGAACAATGATTTGGAGCATTGAAAGTGTCTCAAATCACTGTTAAAGTTGTACATGTACTCTGTTTTTTTCTCTCTCTCTATTATTTTCATACTGTGTGTTTGTAACACTTTATCTTGGCTCGTCTCCACTCTGCAGCCGAGTCTGCTCGGAATGCAAATTGACCACATTCTCGGTTCGGAGGCCTGACACGAGCAGAGAGAGACACTATCAGGTGTTGTCTCTGTGATTGGAGCTGCTTCTGATACAAAACCACCTCATTTTGTCTTTAAACACATGGCTGCACAAGTCTGTGTGCATTTATTTCTTCAAATAATTTGGGGCAAAGGTGTTGTGTTACAGATATGTGACCATTTTTAACCTTGTTTGGGAGAAAAGCTGCCACTATTTTGACATCATAGAATAGTGTAGTTGTTATATGATCTCTTCTCTGTTAAATACACAATCTGTGTWAAAAAAAAACTAATCAGTAAGTCAAAATAAGTCAAATTTAATCAAAATGACCTCAGCACATTTTTAGATTCCTGCTCTGTTTTGATTCCTTATCATCCTGATATGACTGGTTCAGAGAAATGTCTTGTTTTCCTAATGAGGATAACTCACTGATGTTTGATCTGAATCTTATTTTTAGGTTATTCTAATTTCTTAATATAGTGGAAACCTCCAATAATATATGGATATTAGATTGACCAGCTGCAAGAAAAAATAAAATAAAATAAAAGCTTTGCTAGTTCCCAGGGGGAAAAAAACAATTTAGTTTTTTAAAATATTATTAAATTCATGTTTGCTGCTGCTCAGGAAAAGGCTTAAAAGAAATGCTTTTGATTATTTTTCAGATACTTTAATTACATGACATGTAGATAATTGTTTTTTATATATTTAGACAAAATGCAAATGTTTTAATGATTGCACTGTAGCTGCCTGTTTCTCTACATACCTCTTTGTAACTTAATCTTTGAAAAAGGGGAAAAAAAATCTAACATCGGTTTTGGTGCACACACACACACACACACACACACACACACACACACACATCTTGAACTTATAGATCTTTTGGCTACAATTAGTCATAATCAACTATATAAACAATAATAAATAAAAATGTAAAAGTAAATCTTCAGAAGTGAACTTGATGGTTGCATCCATCTTCTGACACGTCACTGCAAATAAATCACTGTTTCCTTTTGTGTGTTTTTCTTTAGTTGATTTGCTTCTGCCTGAATGATCCCCCTCCCACACACACACACACACACACACACACACACACACGAACAATGGGTTTTAGTTTACAGGTTATGTGGTTTTGTCCTCTTTATGAAGTCTGACAAGTAAACCAAATCCAGTGTAATTTCATCCTGTGTATTGGTAATCTGCACCTTTCAACCTCATCACAATAACATGTTTTGTACTATCAGAACAAGCGTATTTGAATAAAACTATTTCTGGTTGTTGACGGATGATTAATTTCAGGTTTGTGAACACTGTTGAAGAAGGTTCAAGAAGTCCAAAGAGATTACACAAATGAAAAGTTGGATCCACGCTGAGTGGATTTTTCCGACATTTTACAGGCAAGACGAGCGTCCTCAGTGTGTTTCTACTCTCCAGCATTTCAGGAATGACAGCTGATAAACCGAACAGCAGGTATGTAACTCCTGGGATGTTGAAGCAGCTGAATGAATATGAGTCGGTGTTAGTTTCTGTGCTCAACCTTCAGCAGGGGAATGGCACTTGCATTCCTCCACATGCGCCACATGCCTTTTTTTCATGATAGGCAGCAAAAACCGGAATAACAATGTGTCAGCCGTCAGCATGCAGGACTGCCATGGACTGATAAATGAGGAATTTCACTTTGAACTCTTGAAAAAGAAAAAAGGGCCAAGGGGAACGCAGCGCCACGGCTGGACGTTAGCATCTTCTGTAGCAAAACCTGCAAGAATGTCTGCCCCACTCTGATGATTTGTCTTTGTTTTGCCCAACTTTGACCTGCTCCATCCTAATCTACAGGTAATTTTTTAAAACACRAATTTAGACCCGACAAAGGAGGCAGAAATATACCCATGCAAACACAAGAAGAACATGCACACCCAAAAACCCCAGACCCAACCCCTGAACCCAGGACCCTGACCACTAAGTCATTGTGCTGCCATAAATCATAGTGGTGTAACCACCACTTTGTTATCAATGTCAAGCATGAGCTCATGTTTGGTCTTGCACATTCAATTA